CTGCGCTTGTACTGACGGCTGTAGCTACTTATTCACCAGCATGTGACTCGCCACTCCGGTCATGAAAGCAGATTTCCTGGCTTAGAAACGATCCTACAAGGTAAACAGGCCAGCGGCCGGGGCTAAGACGCGTGAGAACTGGAGGTGGATCCCTACCTTTCGGTGCACAGCGGGGGAATACGTGTTTTCCCCACCCTTGGCGTTTAAAGAACCGGGACGCTGTTAACCATCTACGCTAAATAAACAGGTTTAATTAGTAAATTAGAACAGGTGATTGCGCTTAAAGACAGCTGCACGGGTTGGCGGTGGGTTTTTTGAATGATTTAAGGCAGGGGTTCCCAGTCTCTTTCCCCCCTGCTAGTTTTCATTGCGGCTGAGGTCTTTATGTAAACGACTCCTTAACTGAAACAACAAGTCTCTCAGAACCTTTGCGGGTGTTCCCCCCCCCCCTACTCCCAGGTTGGATTTTTTTTAAAGTTACATAAGAAACAGAAGAGTTAGAAAGCGACCTCTGGTTTCTTAAGGGCTGGAAGTGATCACGCTTTTATTTCTGATCATCTGTTGTTTTAATTGAGGGTGATGGAAAGGCTCCGGGTGTCTGGGTCTCTAGGATGGGGGACCCCTGGTTTAAGAGATGCTAAACCTCCCATGAGCCCATTATTCAAGTTTTATCAAATGTTTTCTCCAAGATGACCACCATCTTTAGGGTTTGGACAGTAGTCTGAAGGCTGTTGATTAAATGCTGAGTTTTGAGGTTTCCTATAGTTCCCTTCTGCCTGGTCGTGCCAACACGATGGGGTGCCTGTTTTCTGCACAGAAACTACACCTGATCTGAGGCGGACGTAGATGCAGGCCTTATGAGAGGGGGCACCAGCAGCGCCATTTAGCCCTGGGCCTCACCTCACTGGGGGGGGCCTCACCAAGGGTGTGTGGTCCCCCACTTTAACCCTGTGGCTGTGTTTCTCAACTTGAGTCGCATTTGGACCTTTTGCCATATACTGCGATTCTCGACTCCGGTCCACGGCGCTGAATCTGTCCTTCTTTAGGGGTTTCACAATGCCCGCCTTCATCTTCCCATCATGCCATTCTTCCCATTCAGAAATTTTTTCTTCCCAGACAACGAGGGGGCCTCCTCTGAGCTCTCGGCGGGCCTGCGCGGACGAGCCTCTGCCCAGCGGGAGACTCATCGCTGCTGAGGGCGGTGGCACACGCCCTGCCCCTTTTTGCTAACAGTCTGCGCCTGACATCTGCCGAAGCAAGGAGCCACTTCCCTGTAACAGCAGGTGGCCTGCTCTTCCCTACACATGCACAGCTCTGGACTGTGCTGCTGTCATATCAGTTTGCCAACACGGCGCAGTGAACGATTTCCATTGCAGTTATACGAACAATAATAATTCCTTCGATTTTATAGCGCTTTTCTGGACACTCCAATCAAAGTGCTTTACAGGTCATGGGGATCCCCTCCAGCACCACCAGTGTGCAGCCCCACCTGGATGATGCGCCAGTCT